ACACAGCTGGGCTCGGTGAAGAGCAGTATAACTAAGGAGTGACGGTGATGCGACAATATTTATATGTGCAGGCGGAGCCTGACATCTGTCGTCATCACGTCACCTGCCTAAAGGCGTGATTAGAGGTGGCTTCAGCCAGGACACGCAGGGGCGTGGTTCCCATACATGATGTTGTACCTCGTTCCTTTCCTTCAGGGAACAGTAGTTATATGCATAACATTACGTTTTAAGCACCATTTTTATTGAAGCTGTGCTGTTTGTGTAGTCATGGGTGCTTGTTCTGCATTTTTTACAACTAGTGTTTCACTTCAAGTTTTATATATTGTTAATTCCTTTTCTATGTCTCATAACAAATGAAGAACAAAAAATGTGATTCAGATATGGATTTGGAACAAAGAGTAATGCAGGTCTCTTTCATTTTCGTTTGGACATTTTGGTGTTTGGTGTGTTTTCTCATCTTATTTTATTTACTTCTGCAAACTCGTCACACTTCAGGTTTCAAAGCTGGCTCTTTGTTTAGTGCTGTGCTTTTTTCTTTTCTTACCTTTTCTGTTGTGTCTCTCAATTTCTTCATCACTGGTCTCCCTTTGAACTCTGGGAACAGAGCACAGTTGAGCGCTGACGCTGGCCAAAGGAGACCCTCTCAGAAGGAGAAGTATGTTAGTCTGTAGGATCATCCGACATCATAATAACATCCCACTCTCGAACTTCCCAGACTTTCTGAATTGGATGAAAGTTATTTTTTTTATTTGCATGGTTGCATTTTCCTGAAAGTCTGTGTCATCCTTAGTCCATAGTATTGTCCAAAGAGCTCATCATCCAATCAGAAGGCCGCCCAGTGCATGACGGTGTGTGACTGACCTATGAAATGTCTTTTTGGCTAGTTATCACCTTTGTGCCCTCCATTTTGACCTGATATATTAACTCACTGAGTGTTTTTGGCTGGACGTGTCATGAAGTCAGCCTGCGTATCTGAGAGAAGCTTTCATAACACAACACCCTTAATTTCATCTCGGCGTTCCAGAGGCGAGATGACAATGTGTGTGTACATGAATCTATAGATGGGTTTTTGTGTGTGTGTGCGCGCATACATTCTTAAAAGTATGATTTTTCTTCTATTATGAGTGTTCACTTCTGAACCGCAAACAACCAGCATTTAATTTGTTGGGATTTATCTGCTTATAGCCCTCCACCAGCTCTTCCACCTAAGAAGCGCCAGTCAGCCCCTTCACCAACACCGGTGGCAGTAGTTGCTCCAATGAGCCGTGGCTCCAGTTTGCCATGTAACGACCACAGACAGGTAAAAGAGCAGTTTCATGGTGCATTGTGGCTTCCTTATGTTTTCGACCACGCAGGAGAAATAAAACAACTCGCATGTCATTGTGTGCAGGATTACGAGCATGAATTTTTTCAGAGACGGTTCTCTGGGGGCAGCCATTCATACGGCGGAGACTCTCCTCGTCTGTCTCCGTGCAGCAGCATGGGAAAACTCAGCAAATCTGATGAGCAGCTTTCTTCCATGGAGCAGGACAGCGGTCAGTGTTCTCGAAACACCAGCTGCGAGACGCTCGGTAAGGATACTAAGACCAGTCTAGAAATCGGTAGCGTCTTAGGCGTAGTTTTGACATCATATCTGTCAAAATCATTTTGAATTTAATTACGTAGGTTGTTCATAATTTCTAAGTAAAACGAATACAAAAATCTAAAGCTCAGTGGCCTAATTTAGTTCTGTAATTCCCTTAAGTGGGCTGAAAAGCAAGACTGGCTAAAGTCTAATTAATGAACACAACCTGTAACCATAACTACAAAAGTGAATCAAGCAGCATAAATTATGAGTTGTTGACTTAATGAAACACTGATCTATTTCTTTCTGCTCGTGTTTGTAAGTTTGGAGCTTTTTATTTCTAAAATTATTTGCAATATTATTTTTCCACAGATATTACAATAAATTTTACTATATTTGTGCAGCCCTAGTGTGAAGTTAAACTGTTGTGCATCTAATAAACATATTTTCTTTCTTATTCAGACAACACGGAGAGTTATGACCCAGATTATGACTTCCTCCACCAGGACTTGTCTGTTGGAGATAACCTGCCTTCAATACCTGCAGGAGGCTGTTTGAGTCCTCTCCCAGAGTCCCACAGCGAGTCCTCGTCCCCTGTTCCTGGACAGCATCCCTCAAACCCCCATTATAGCGCTCCTCCCCTCCAACAGCCAGACTACTGGACTCCTCAGTCCAATCAGACTAACCCCCAACAGCCCTCTCGCGTCAGCGCCCCACCCGCCCTGCCGCTAAAGAAACGACGCAGCACACGGACGTCGTCCTTCCCTGATGGCGGTTCTAGGGTGCTGTACGAGCGCTACCCTTCCCAGTATGACAACCTGTCAGAGGAAGAGCTTCACCCCACGCCACCGTTCCCGCTTTTCACGCCCATCTCACCCATGCCCCAGACGAACAGTGGAGACTTTGTTTCCCAATACAGCGCGAGTGAGAATGCAGATGTTCCAGCCAGCCCGCCGCCGCTGCCAGAAAAGAAAAGCAGACACAGTAAGTGAGGGGTAAAGTGAAGCGGGCGACGTAATGAAGGAGGAAAGACGAGAAAGGATGACCTCCAAATGAGATGAATGTAGGGCACGGAGGCAATAAGAGGCTAAGTGAAGATAAATGGTGGGAAGAGTAAAGAATGAGGGATGATTAGAGTAAGGAAAACAGGACGTGCAACGTATTTCGTCATCAGCTTGTTGAAGCATCGCTTGTGTCAAAGAAATATTCATTGTGAATAAAGACAGGAAGTAAATACTAGGATGTGACACAATGGGTCTGGTTCAAGGGCTGCAGAGGGCAATATTTGGTCATTTCCTGACGCGCCCTACTTCATCACTTCCCTTTAGGCTACTGTATTATGTCATCTATACAGTCATCCTTTCACACACTGTATGACTACAGTTATGTTGAATGTCAACTCATTTTAATAAGAAGCTCAGTTTACTTACTTTTGTGTCACTAGAGGATCTTTGTCTCTTCTAAGAAAGTAATGAAAGATATAAAAATCTTGGCTCGGTTATTCTGTTACAGCAGCTTTTAGGGGGAAAACCCACTTTCAGATTCTTGAAACATAAATCTTCAGATGAGTTTCAATAAAAGATGCTAATGAGTTGCATTGTATTCCTGACATTCCTGCCTCATTTCTTCTATTTTCAACATATATAGTAGGCTCTATCAGTCTGAAGAAATTTATAGTATTTTCTTACAAGTCCATGGTTAAATTTTTTTAAATCCAATTTATTTCCCTCCTCCAGTTCTTCAATACATGCAGTTTGTGGAGGACTATTCGGAGCCACAGCCCTCTGTTTTCTACCAGATGCCACAGAGTGAAAGCATCTATGAACAGCGTAACAAGCTTTTCCAGGAGGTTTACGGCTTCAATGACTCCTTCAGCAGCACTGACTCAGTTCATGAGCCCCTGCTGCCCCCAGCGTTGCCACCGAAACAAAGACAGCTGGTAAGAAACCCCTCTGTGTAGTCATTCTTGAGAAGTCCACAGGCTGTCTGTGGAGTTACATATTGCAGCATATCACAAACTAACATGTATAAACAGCTGGGCTCACTCATTTAAACTGGATGAGCAAAGCTGTAATTAAAATTCTTGAAATGCTTCAGTTTCGACTGAAACAATGAGGATGTCAGATGTTTAGCAATGAAAGTTAATTTGGGAGATCTTGCCCAGAATCGTTTGACAAAAAGTGTTTTATGTTTTATGGATGGATGGATGGATGGATGGAAAGTGAAAGAATGCATTCTGAACCTAAAGCACATTCCAGTGGTAACCTTTATCAGTTTTTCCCTAAGGCCCCCATCTATCTTGTTATCTCCTCCACCTAGTTAGCTTTCTGGTCTTTCTGTCTCTATTTTCCGGTGCCGTCATGGCCAAAGCAGACCTTTGTGTGCACACAGAGGTGCTAGCTTGCTGGTGAGAGATAGGACAAGCCTTTATCAGCCTCACATCAGATGTACTGCGCTTATCTTAATCTGAGGTGTCGTCTGGGTTAATTGAGACAACCGTCTGCCAGTGAATCAGTGGCGGAAGAGACAAAATAGAGTAGATCAAAGCAAGCGAGGGATGAGTTGGATGTACAATATTTAAGTCTCTGAAAACCCAACTTTCTCAACTAAGTCCTGCTTTAATCGGCAATTCCTGCTTCAAACACACTTGTCTGTAAAGATATTTCCTTTTTTCAAGTCCATGAAAAGCTTACAAGCTGTAAACCTGTGCAGCAATCACAGTTCAACAGCCATGGTCATAAAATTTCAAATAGCACTGTTAGTCATATCTGCAGTTGTGCAATCCTTCTGTGGCAGTTCAGCTGAGTTTTCAATTAAATATTAGCTCAATATTTATATTGTTATAGATCATTTGAGAGAATGTGAGTTCTAAATGTTTTTCTTAGTTTATCCATTTTTAACATTAATTTGTCACTTCCTTGGATCTAAAAATGAACAAACTTGTGACACAGAGGTGACACAATCTGTGGTTGTGCTGAAACTTTGTGGTTGTGTTAAAGGCAGTACATTCATGGACACTGTAAACATGACATTTCTCTGGTGTACAGTTAGTTTCAGGACATGGAAAAGAAAATAGACTTTGTAGACTAATGGCAGTCTACCCAGGCCACCTTTCTTTCTGGTTTCCCTCCCTTTTGTCCTCCTTTTGCCACCACAGCTGTGCATTTTAAGCAGATTTTATTTTTATCACTCTTTTGTCTGAGCGTATAGTCAAAACTGCACTCATTTGTGCCGCTTCTGCAAGGCCTAATCCGGCCTCATGTTTTGCACTTGATGAGCTCGTGGCCCAGTGGAATAAGCCTGTTTGCCCCCTGCATAAACCCATGATACAGGCTTACATGCTTTGGCGACTTTACACAGCTTTGCAAAAATTAAAAAAAAAAGTAATTCCAGCTGCTGTGTGGATAAGAAAATTGGTAAAAAAAAAAAAAAAAAAAAAAAAAAAAAAAACCTAAAGCAGATCATATTGGCTCAGTTTAGACCATATTTAAGTTGGCCTGGTTTCCTGTAAAGCCCTCAAAGCTAAGGGTTTTAAAAGATTTCCTAGTCTGATTTGGTTGATTTTAATGAGTGTTACTTGTATGCTTCATTTGAACTTTTGGTAATTTAAGATTTTTCAGGATGAACTCTAATAATTCAATTCACTGATGCTGAAACAGCAGTAGGGTTTGCATATGTTTATTGACTGTTTTTATACCTTCAGCCATTAAGGTGATGCCTCTCATCTTAACTGCAAAGGTCCTCATCAGCCTTCATCACTCTGACTTCCATATCCTGCTGCTGAACTTTGCTTTAATCTACTCTAATTCAGCCTTACTTACCAGTGTAATCAACTGCCACCACTTTTCTTCTATTTCCTCTAACGCCTTGCTTTTTTTTTTCCTCTTCACCTTCCTTTAACCCAAATTACTCTCGCTTTCTTGATTGTTTCAAACCGTTTCTGCCTTTTTCTTTCTTTATTTGTCCTTGTTTCCCCTCCCTTCTCAGGCCTCCCACTCCTCTTCCCCTTCCTCCTCCTCCTCCTCTTCTCTCTCCTGCCACCTCCAGCCGTCTGTAGCGGCCATGGAGGAGGCGGGCACTGGGCTGGGCCTCAGCATGTCCGTCTCTAACTCCTGTCTGATTGGCCAGGCGTCTTTGACCACGCCCACGGTGAGTCGCCCATCCTTCTCCCCCTCCACCGTCTGCTCCTCCCATCCATTCTCCGGGCGTGAGTGCTGTACTGGTGCAGTAGTAGCTTGACTTTCCGTTGCATCGTGTGATAGTCTGTTCACCTTTGTGGCTTCTGAAAAAGCTCAAGGGTCCGTGCTTTGGTTGCTGTGTGATCCATCCATGTGTGTGTTTGTTTTGTTACATCTAAAGACTAGATATGTGACTACTATAAACTTTTGCATAATGATGCAGGTTTTTTGTGATTATGTGTGAATGCTAGCTACCCAACTTTGTGGTATTTCTTCATGTGAAAGAAAGATATTCAAAACTCTTGAAGAGCTTTTTGTTTGGGGTCAGATTTTTTTGTTAGGGTCATAAACAATGAAACAACCCCATATGTTTAAGTCTTTGACTGTTTTTTGTGAACAGATTAGCTTGTGGTCAGTCAGTGCTTTAATTCAGTTAGTTAGGGCTTGACCCCAAGTCAACGTGGCCATGTATACCACTGCTCTTATCAGTATTTTGGGAGAGTTGACCCTCGATGACCTCATGGCGTGAGAGGCATGTTAAGACATGGTGGATGTGTGCAAATGTCCCTCAGGATGTCTCAAGTGGAATGCAGCACCATATGGAGCTGATGGAAAACACATTCTCCCCATTTCACCAGCTCTTCTCTCCTCCATGCTGTCTCGTTTCCATCTCGTCTGCCCCCACCCCTCCTTAAAGCGCACACACTTCCACAACTCCCATTTGAGTATTTCTGTGGAAAGTTTGCATTCCCCAGCTTCTTGGGGGGATTACATTGATTTCACAAAAAATGTAGACATATGCTGACACATTTCTTTCATTTTGACTTAAATGTTGTGTAAAAAGATAAAGAAGCTGTGTATGTATGAACACCTGCATTCGTTTCTGTGTGTGTGAGAGAGTGTTTGCCGTGTTTACCGCTGTCTGATTTATTTCTGCATGGCTCTATGCTGATATGCTGAAACGGCGCTGGTATGTGAAACATGTTAAAACAGGTTAGCACCACCTCTCTGCTGACAGGCATCACTTCAGCTGGCCACACACTTGTACAAAAAAAAGGGGAAAAAATGCATCTCTGGTCTTGAGTCATTTTTAATGCCAGGTAAACTGGCATTGTGAAACTCCGATGTCTTCTTTCCCATCTTATTTCATGAGAGATCTGTCAGTTGGCGCTCATTTTGCTATTTTATCTGTGTGTGTGTATGCGTGCGCGTGTGTAATGCATTTCATGTTCAGGCACATAGAGAATGAGGTGAATCCTACTCCCAACCCACTTCCTATTGTTCTGTTTCTGTCTACTCTGACTGCTCTTTAATCTCTTAGTCCTGTCCTTTTATTTATGTTTTCTCCGCACTTTTTTTCTTCTGCTTTGGTTCTTTCCGCCAATCACAGAGCTTGGACCAGGTTGCCTTGACCAATGCCACCATTCTGGATGGCAGCGGGGGCGGGCCGAACGGTTTCCTGGCTGGCTCTCTGGGTTCTGTGGCTGTCTGTCTTCCTTCTGAATCTTCTCTCACTGACTCTCTCCACACCTCAGCGGTGAGCTCACAAGGATAGATGTTTGAAGCACAAACAGGATATATGAAGATGTTCTTTAGGAAGTAATAAAATCTAATCCTGGACCTCATCCCTTGGCAGAATAAAGTTAAATAACAGCCATGTTTGGGGTTTTTTTCTACTGTTATAATAATATACAGTAATATAATTACATAGTGACTCATTTGCTTGGTGGCATCTTGTTGTTATTATCTCTGCCTACAATCTGTCTGCTGTCTTATTATTAATTTAAAAAATCCCAGTGGAGCATGTTGCACTGCATGTTCTTGCCAGTAAGTACTATTCCTTGTACATATGATGCACTTCGGTGCCACCTGGTGGTATCTGTGACAGAGCTGGAGAACGGTTCTCCCTGTTGAACTGCAGGCCTCGGTCTTATTCACACCTCACGTCTGCTACATGTGTAGCAAACACTCTGTGCCCCTCTCTGCTGCTTCACGCCTCGGTTTGTGTCCCTCCTCTTTTCCCGTAGAGCGAAAGCGTGAATGACGAGGGCGGGGAGGGGGAGTATGTCAACCTATACTCGTCCAGCCAGGCCAATGGGGAGCTGCAGCTCTCCCTCAGAGTAAGTAGTTAACTGCCACGGGTGAAAGGTCGATTCCATTTGCGCGTCCCATCACCTCAGGTTATGAATCAATTTAAATGTGGTGAAGTAAAGGGGGGTGGGGGCTCTTGTGCTGCTGGCACATTTCCCTCTCACACGTGTTGCACTGTGCAGCTCTTATTGATTCATCTCCTGAACGAATGGCGCTGAAATGGAAGTGTAGCCAAACCTGACAGAGCATGACTTCAGGTTCACAGGTTGGCCTGTGAGGGGAATCGTGCTGTGGCTGGTGTTTTGTGGAAAAGATGTCCATCTGTTGTTTTGACTGCCTGGCTGGTGACTGCTGTCTCTCTGGCTGCGCTTCAGCTGTAATCAGCATTGTTCTGATCTAACGCCTGACATCTCTTTGCTCCAAAAAGGGATTTTCAGTGGGTTTCCAGTTTTCCAGTAACACACTCCAAAACAAATGACGTGCACCTGTGCATGTGTAACAGCTTACGTGTGTGGTTGTTTTCCTTTTGGTTCGGCTTGTGTTTTTGGTGTTTTAGGCATGATTGGGTGAGGGTGTTTTCTGAGCACATGTGTGAAAGACTCTGCAAAGGAAGCAAAGTGTTCAAAGTTTTAATGTCTGGAGTGGTTTCAGTTCAAAGGATTTCTACCCTCCGCTGTTGTTCTGTTTTGGGTCTCTTTGTGTGTGTGTGTGTGTGTGTGTGTGTGTGTGTGTGTGTGTGTGTGTGTGTGTG